TTCCGCTCCATAGTGGCCGGGATGTCCATGAGATATGTTCATCATGGCCTCAGCTGTATGCGGCATCGGAGGAAACCCAGCTGGTGGAGGACCATTCATGTTCAAATATCCGGGAGGTGGCATTATTCCGGGGGGAGGCGCGAAACCAGCTGGGGTATTCGTACTTGCTCCTCGTTGAAATGGTTGGCGGTCCACTGGTGGTGTCATTCCTGCTGGTATGGGCATGGGTGGTGCAGCAGAAAAGTTTGGATTCATATTTCGCGCTTGTGGAGTCGGAAGGCCAGGAGGAAACATCATCTGGTTGGAGTTCCCTTGTTGTGGGATTTGTTGATTAGGCCAGCCGGCGGAATTGACTTGCTCGAGACCAGGAGGCCGTTGAATACCCATGAGTGGCTGTGGTGGACCTTGAGGACGGAGCCCAGGAGGGTTGTTTGGAGTGTGATTTCCGCTTGAAACGCCAGGATACGGCATCTCGTCGAAATATCCAGTTGGCCCGGCAGTGGGTCTTCGTCTAAGTTGATTTCGCGGATCATTTGCATCAGCCCGGCGGAAATTAGCAATAGCAGGATCGTCAATGTATAAAGGAGTCTTCTGTCCCTGCGCTGCTTGGTTTCTAGCCAGCATCTCTAGTAGATTAGGGCCGCCGGGACTCTGCAGCGGGAGATTTTGGCTGGCTGGCATCTGAGTGGAAATCTTCGACTGCTGCATAAGACGCAGCAAAAGTTCAGTGTCGCGAGGTTGGTTGTTATTTTCTTTGGTTACCTTCTGAGCGACTAGATTTTCTAATCCTGGTGGCGGCCTATCCCTCGAGATATGCTCTTGAAAACTCCTATATTCTTGGTGGTTGGAAGACTCGCGTAAGGGAGAGGTCGTCTGAGGCTGCGGCTTTGCAAAATCTAGCTGATGTACTTGCATGTGTTGTGCGCGAGGTTGGTTGGATTCCTCAACTTGGGGGGTGGCATTTCTTGATTTATTACCACCAAGCATTTGAAGAATGCGTTGAAAACCTTCCTGGTCGGCATCAGTTGAAGAGGGCCGGGGCGCGCTCGGCTGAGGAGGTTCAACATCCTTGGTTTCACTCTGTGTGCTAAAAAAGCCAGCGAATCTCGAAGATTTCGTTGGTTTCAACGCGGGGGGGACTTCCTTCTTCGACTCAGCGCCAACATTCTCTGAGACGGATTCATCCTGAGTGGTTTTACGCTTTCCCCAGAGTCCGAAAAAGTTGTCCAGACCAGGATCGGCCTGGAAAGATGGACCAAGGTTGCTAAACATCTCTCCATCAGCCGGCTTGCTCTCGAGGTGCTTTGGTTCTTCTTTAGGGGGTTCCAGGGTCGTCTCTTTCTGAGCATCGCTGGAAGCTTGAGCAGCCCCAGCTTTCATTCTCTCTTTCCATCGTTGAAAATCTTCCTGGGTATGTGCTTCTTTCGTGTCAGGGCGGCTGGTGGAATCCATCCATTCTGGGTCTTGCTCCTGTCTCACAGGACGATTCCAGTCGCGGTCCGGCCCATGCAAACCTCGACGCCATTCGCGATTTCTGATGGGAGTCTTGTCTTCCTCCAAGTCACCCGCGTCTTGCGCGTTTCCATCACGATGCCAATTTTGGTCATGTCTTTGCCTGCCAAGAGTATCGCGACGACCTGGGAATCTTCCTTGCTCCCTATCTCGATTTGTACGCTCACCTCCATCTTGTTGATCGCGCTGTTCCTTGGAATCTCTGCTATCCCAGCGGTCGACATCGCCACTTCGTCGGGGTCTTCTCTCGCGATCTTCCTCCAACCCAAAATTACGTCGTGGTCTATTGTTCCAATCGTCTCGATCATCACGATTCATCCTACGGCCATTGGTTACGTGAGATCGGCTATCTCTCCGGTCCAGGTCTTTATCCCTGTCTCCATAGTCCTTGTCCTTGAAAAACTTGTCACGAAAACCGCCATAACGGTCTTGTCTCGTCTCGTCGTGGTCACTGTTTTTGAAAGTCTTATCTGTGGCGTCTGTCGATTTGCCAAATCCTCGAGTAGCAGATGCGAATGAAGTTTTAGGAGGTCCAAGAATTAGGTCCTCTAAAAGCAATCAGTCAGTACAAGTCATAGGTAGCTACCTCCGGGAACTCGGGGTATCACCTGAGTTTGAGGTGCGTGATATATGGCGCGATTCAAAAAAGCTTGATCGCCGTTGATGAGTAGTCGTCTCGGGGTGATTTCCCTGGTCTCGGGAGTTTTTCTTCTGCGTGGAGGGGTCTGGGATAGGGCTATACGGGCATTGGGAAGGTCGGTTAGCGATTGGATCCTGTTGGAAAGTCACGATTACGATGGACAGACATACCCCATCCATTCCTCTATAGGTGGCAAACTATCCGGTTTGACCACTAAAGGGGATTCACGAAGCCGCAAGAGCTCGTCTGCATGGTATCGTATAATAGCCATCGGTAAAGGGCGGTGGGTGGGTGTCGTCTAATTGCGCCACATGGCACAATCAAGCGGAAGAGATAAACAGATTAAGCGGCAATATGGCAATGGAATTCGGTTGGAGGCTTCGATACTAAATGAGGAATCGTTTTGGTTCAAGTATGGAGGAGAGAGGGCGAGATTGGGGGCTTGATTGAAGAGGAGGTGCGGAGCAAGGATGAGGAGAGCGGCAAGGAGACAAGGATTGGGCGTATTGGAGCTTCAGGAGACAGGTTCGGGCAGCGAATATCAAGTGAGAAGAGATTGAGATAGATTCTGACTGTTAATTGTTTGTTAACTAGACGGTGGCATTGGGGCTTTTGAATTGTGAGAACACTTGAGGGGGAAGGGATGTCGTCAATTCACAGCGGCAACTTTTGAATTTTTTTGGACCACCAAAACGGGCTGCTTCTGCCACCGCAAGGAGATCGCCGCAACAACGGATGTCTACATGGTTACTGGCAACAACAAACACAGAAACTGACGGAAGAGTGACGATAAGGCGGAATAAATCACAGTGTTCACGGTCATGTAGCAACACAGTGATATGGTCAAAAAGGGGGTTTTCGACCAGATTTCTAGCGTGGTTCTAGGGCCCTTTTTGGGTGGTACATCGAGAACTTCCCCAGTTTATAGAGCACACTCTGTACTATAAAAAGGATGTGTTATTGTTCTATGACGTGATGGCTTATGCTGACATTTGGGCTGCAGTTATTGACAAAGCTGATCCTGACCATCGATCAACCCACTCATGGTTACAGTCTCTGTAAAGCTCGCTGGCTAGGGCCTGTAGAAGCCGACTTTGGGGGCTTTTTACAGAAGCGTGACTCTGAATCCAGCTCATCGCTGCGGCGCGGGTCAAGAGTGTGGTACTGCCTCCGATTTCACAAACTCGGAAGACTAGATGTAGGATCTTCTTTCGTAGTGAGTCCGAGAGGTTAAGTGAACTGTATAGGGAAAGCAAGCGCTCGAAAACGCCCGCACGGCGGTAGACATCCAGATCCTATTGCTACAGTCAGCTTCGTCAGTTAACCACCGGGATAGGAGCCCTCTGTACCTCTTCTGACCGTAGACCGCTAATAAACAGGTCTAGGAGCCAACTCACTTCCTCGTAATGGCTGTCATCGTATTCTGATTCGTGCAATAAAATCTTGTCAATCCAGTAAGATGGAATTTTGGCAACCTCCCACAACGGTGCTTTGTTGAGGAAGGCATTCGCTTTGCTGTAGAGTTTATGTAGCGGCTCCGTTAAAACCACCAGCAACCGCGCACCAAGCTCACCAGCAATATATGGAAGGGGACGATTCATTCCAACCTCTTTGCTGGTTTCTAGCAGCTCTCCCATTAAAACATAGAGGGTTTGGCGTTCCGAGTAAGTGGATTCCTAGAATCAACGTCAACGTTCGTGCGCCCTCGATGTCCTCAATCGCCTGCTCACCTTTAGCCTCGCCATAAACCGCGAAATGCCAATCATAGCCTGTCGACGTATTTCCTCGTGTTGAGAGCAAAGACATAATATCAATTCACCAACGTATCCCTGATCTAACGAAAATTCGAGCTCTTCCTTCTCCCAGCGATGAAGCCCAGGGTGAGATTCGTCTTCAGTAGGGCATTTACCAAACATATCTGCGAGGAATATGTTTCCCGTTCCCTCGCTTGAAGCTGCAGGTGGCGGTGTATTTCTCATCGTTGTCTTTTTAGGCTTACCAGAGACCTCTTTGTCACGGATTTTGAGAGCCCTTTTCAACAACGACCGACTTTTCTTGGTTTCGGTTGCTTCCATCATTGTATCCCGGAGACTGGCTAATGATTTCTCACTTTCGCCAGCATCTCTTAAAGATCCAAGCAAGTTCGCAACCCAGCCTGAAATTGCAGCTTCGTTTTCTACCTTTCCAGCTTTGACCACAAACGGCCATTGCTCATTAATCGTTGTAGTGATCAAACTAAGTTTTTCGCCGGGCTCGAGTAGACGTTGAGCTAAATCAAGGTAGAGGACAGGCTTTTTCACAAGCCTCGTAATGCAATTATCAACAAACCCAAGTTGTGCTTTAAAATTCTCCGGATCCGATACAGTAAAGCCTTGGAGTAAGGCATCGAAAGAGCTCTGGTCGGCTACAACTGAGTTCTGAACCAAAACCTCTTGCAAAAGAGGCTTGATTTCCTCCATAAGGGACTCATTGGTTGCACCTGCAACGGCTTTAAGGACCGACGTGAATGCAGAAAACTCTAAGGATTCTAAAGATCGTCAGTGCCTAGTACCCATAGACCATCAAGTCGTGGAGGATTACCTGGTTTCTGCCACCACCTCATGGTTGGCGATTCTCGTGCAATAACCAACAGACTCTGCAACTGGTTGAAAAGCAACTCCCTGCTTCCATCAGAGAGGCTAGGGTCATCCAATTGCTTGAGAACAGCTACCAACGTCAAGGATATATCGAACTTCTCCTTGAAAGCAATAGTTGGTATTACTTGGTAAAACATCGAAAGCAACTCCAACACGGCGTCTTGCTGTTGTAGGTTGTCCTTTGGAGTTTGGCGAAATGCGAGGATCGTGTCTTTCATTGTGGGACATCTTCGACAAAACTCAGCGACTAGTTTCACAGCTGCCTCGCTCCAAAGTTCCTGGCCAACTTCTCTTGGGGCATTGAAAATCCTAAGCACCGCCTGAAGTTTCCGTAATGCCAGGGTAGTGACCCGGATAGCGAATATGGTAATGACATCGGCGTTTTGATTTATACACCGCGTCAGTAATTTCTGTGTCAGAGGGCGAGGCAGTATACTTTCGATGGCTATAGAAACAAGAGGAGGTATTGCCGGAGGTGACCCCCCTTTCCAACCACACTGTGTCGGTATCGGGAGCTGGACGGTGGAAAAGAGAAATGCCGACTCTCCCAGCCAGCTCGGCGTAGGTTTTGGGTCTGATGTGAACATAGTTCGTTTCGAGAAAAAGTCGTATACGAGCTCAGGAGCCGCTCTGAATATCTTCAGGAGTAGTTCCATCTGCAGAGTATCCGAATCAGGCCGGAGAAACTGGATTAAAGCAGAAAGATTCCCGTTTCGAACAGGCACAGCAGTTCTTGATTTGTCAAAATAGACAGGTGAATCAAGCCCAAGAGGCACACATTCAGGACTTTCCGCCGGGAGTAAGTCCGGAGTGCTTCCCGAAGGATACCACCCAGTCTCCGGCAAGAGAACGCCTTTCTCTTGGGAAGTGCAAATTGACAACATGAATTTATGGAGTTCGTCAGCAACGGATTCGTCTTTAGATGTCGGTTCAGTGGGCTCCTTTCCATATCCGTAAAGCGTGACTAATCGCTCAAGGTTGTTGCGATTTAGAAGACGACTTTTGGAACTTCGTGATAGTTCCGCATCGCTTAAGATATGCTTGTCGATGGTTTTGATGATATCTATGATCATATCACCTGCATCCTTACGGATATCTTCTAGGAGGGCTTTGATAAGCTTCCCCTGGCCGACAAGGTCCTCCTTTGCGGCTGCGCCTTGGAACTTGAGGTTTGCCAAAAGGTACCGCTGCGCGATACGTCGAAGGGTAGGCTTGCGGCTATCTTCAGCATCCTCGTCCACATTTAACTTACGGGCACTGAGAAATACGTCAAGGCGTTTAAGAGTGATATGGCGGTTTGTGTAGACAATTCGAGCCACGGCGCCACCGTCAAAACTCACGATTTCCGTGAGTAATCGTAAACATGGCGAGATAAGATGCTCTTTGGATTTGCTGGCAGTGAGACCACGGTTGAACAGTTTCAACTGTTCCTTCTGTAGCATAACTTTGCACAGGGCCAACCCGAAATCACGGAAATTGAGTTGACCAGACGCGACCTTGAGGAAAAGCGCCAATACAGACGGTATCAGGGACAGCAAAGACTCTTCGTTATTGTTCTCTGCAAAAACCCATGTTTGCAAAAGGTCGACAAAGCAAGCCGTTGGCTTCCCTTCGGCATCCTTGACGGTCTGTGAGTCGCAATAACTTTTCAGGATCTGAAATTTTTTCGATTTGGCTTTCTCGTTTTCTTCTCCGCCAATTGACGAAAGAAAATCCTTGAAAAGCCGAACACCTGCCTCTGGGTTAGATATCGGGTCAAAAATGTGAGAATTTAGCTGAGCCGCTTACCTTGCTTGACTTCTTGTGAAGTGCTTTGCTGAAAGGCAAGGAGACTGCGGAGTTGATGCGACGAGGTTATAGCCACAGGCTGCGCAGACCCGCTAGTGTTCTCGTCAGAGATTTTTCTCCTCTTGGCCTGAGGCTCGATTTCCTGTGAATCAGCCATTTTCCTGGTGATTTCTGGATTTTTGGATCAAATTCAACGGTTGCTGAAAGGATGAGGTTCAAGATAAAATTGAAGAAGCAATGTGATTGGCTGAAAGCGTCCCTGGGCCAGAACATCGAATATCAAAAGCCAAAAAGAATTGATTTTCTGAATCAATGAAGATGGCACCATTTGGTCTGGAAACTACGTTGCTATGCGTCTTGACAGGATTGTTATAATGTGGCATAATATTACATGTGTTATCATCTGGATATCTACGCCTTTTTGACCTTGCCCTTGACCCGTTCAACCAGTTTGCTCAGCTCTTCAGCTTCACCGTCTGCTTCCTTGCCCTTCTTTTTCTTCTTTATTGGCTCTACATGATCGCGATCGACCTCTTCACCATGGTCGTTTCGTCGCCGTTTGCGACCTTCTTCCAGCAATGCTTTCATGCCCTCCGTCTGCCTGAAGCGAGGATTGGTGGGATCAATAGCATATTCATGGCTCTCGTAAAGGCGTTGGAATCTGGGATCCTTGACGTCGACCTTGAAATCGTCAACCGGAGCCACGTCGTCCCCTTTCTTTCCTCTTTTATGTTTGCTCGCTTTCCGTGCGCGCTTCTGAGCTTTTTCGATCTCGTTCATATCGAAATGTTTGATTTTCGAAACTTGATCATCCATCATCAAAAGCTCAAGCTCAGCGCGCTTCGAAGCGGCAGCCTTTTCATCGGCTTCGCGCTCTTGACGCTGTTTTCGCTTCTCTTCCTTTCGCTTGGCTGCCACTTTGGCAGAATCTAATTCGGGAGCAGTGAAAAATGGATCGTTGAATCCAAGATCTTCTTCTTTGCCTTCCGGCTCAACCCCGTCGCCCTCAATCTCAGCGATTGCCTCGCCAGATCTAGCTGCCTTGAGCTTGGCCTTTCGCCGTTGTTTTCTCTCTCTTTCTTTCCTTACGTATTTTTCTCGTGTCGTTTCTTCCTTTTCAGGCTCGTTTTCAAAGACAGATTCTTGGGTTGGAGCTGCCGTTAATCCTGCAGAGAAAGTAACCTCCATATCGCCCACAGGCCCCTTGCCTTTCCCCTTACTTGAAGCTTCACTGCTTAGCCCGAGAAGAGCACGAACCCTAGCGCGTTCAGCCTCCTTTTTACTTAATTTCTTCTTTTCGCCGGCTTCTTCAGTAGTGTCAACTACTTCAACCGCTTCGTCCTCGTCGTCAGAGCTGTCACTTCCAAGGTAAGCCTTCAAATCGTTTTCATCAATTTCTTTCCTGCCGCCCTTGAAAGCTCTTGCTTGGGCGTCTTTCCGCGCCTTATCATCCGTATCCCAAGTAAGTTTTACTTTGCTGTGTTGTAGCGCATCAGTGACGAAATCATTGGGTTTATAACCGTCTGGTATTTTGTCACAGTCATCTCTCGGGATATCATCCGCGAAGTCTGTGGACTCGGGGACAAACCTAAGGTCAAAAAAGTTCGCGCTGCTCATGTACTCGGTGCCGTCAATTGCATCGTAGATATGTTTCGCAGCCTCCTTTGACGAGAATGTCAAAATAGCATAAAAGTAACGAAGTCTCTCCAACTGGTACTTCCGCAACTGTGCAGAATCAAAATCCTGGCCCTCGTCTTCTTTCAAGATGGACTGTTTGATTTTCTCTTCTTCGTCTTCTTCCTCGTCCTCTTCTGCATCATCGCTGTCCAGGTCCTCATCAACGTCTTCATTGTTTTTCGCAAACACTTCTTTCGGAGGCCCTTCCATCTCTTCCCTTTCCATCCTTTCTTTTCCGAATTCACTTGGGTAAACAGAGACGTTCAAAATCTTCCCACTCGGGGGGAGAAAACTCGAAAACACCGCCATCAAATCCTCTGCACGTATATTATCCCAATCTAGATTGACAACCGCGATTCTTTTTGTAACCTCCCCAAGAGGGACATCGCCCTGCTGATTACTAGGCTGTTCGACCTCCGCCGACTGGTCCTGCGCTTCCACGTCGCTCTCCTCGTCACTAGAGCTTTCTTCTGACGAGGAAGATTCTGAAAATCCGCCATCTCTCGCAGGGTCATAGTCCTCTTTGTCCACGCGACGCAATTCCTTTTGAACTTCGTCGTCATCGTCCGCGCTGACATCTCCTTCATCCTTGTCCAATCTGTAAAATCTTTCCAACTGCTTCTTGGTATCGTCTCGACGTAACTTCCTTCCATACCGATCGACTGCTGCATTTTTGGAAAAGTCTTTATCATGAAGCACATGAGAAAACCGCTTGTCAAGTTTTACACGGGTATGTTTCTTGCTAGGGAGTCGATATCGGGGGTCGGATTGGACATTAGCGAAACGGGGATCGGCTATAATTCGTAGACAATCGTCAGCAGGAGTACAAAATTTCTAACGAGGACAAACATACTAATGACATCGCCATCGGTCTTATGAGTGCGATTATTCACTTTGCGCCGTTTAGGCGACAACTTGGCCGCAGCAGATTCTGGCATCGCAGGGCTTGTGGTGGGATTTTAGAGAACAGTGGTGGAATGCAGCAGAAAAGGTCAGTAATTTACTGACAAATCAACCGTATATATCGCATTGAAAGGTGATTTAATATCCTTGTGCTCTCTTCCGTACTCCGATATGTCCACTTGGTGCCATAAATTTTGATAGAAGTGGTCCGTGCGTCCTTATCAACCTTATCTCAGACCAACATTTTCCTCGACGCAAAGCAGCGATGGTTTTATACTACTCCAGGAAGTAGAGGACATGGAGGATGGGTCCATATTGATAACTCTACCAGCCTGTGTATCAATGTCCCACCTTTTCAATCCGTTCGTCGGAGTCGTGTATTAATGAGGTCGGGGCTCGAGTTCTCTACGAAGTGTTACTGACCAGAACATTTCGATCCACAGGATGATACGTGGCTATATAACTTATATCTCTTGTGATCCAAGTGAATAATATTCAAAGTTGTCAAGAAAAATTTAGCTTTCAAAAGACCACCTCAGGTAGGGCAAGATATAGATCACTGATAGATGTTATCATACAGCCAGGCTGCTGCTTCAGCAAGATTTCGGTGCTCCCAGAACCTCTATAGAAACTCTTCTTCTATGGTCTTATCGCCAGGTTCAGCAAGTCCAAAGGGATTCAGCACCGGTAACAAACGACCAAAGCAATACACGGTCTTGTAACAATTAGCATTTCGCACGAGGAATCAAAAGGCGCCGTTATGTACGCTGGACACAATTGTCATGGTTTAACCAAGAAGAAGATTTTGGCATTAATTTTGAGATGCCAGAATTTAATGTGGCGGGAGAAATGTGAAAAAGCGAGACCTAACCACTCAGTGAGACAATCGACGCTGGTGGTTTGGTTTCTCTCCTTGGTTATGGTATCGAGGCGGCCTCGTCAAAATGCGGTGGATGTGTTTGACGACCATGTCTGCGTGTGTCAACACTAGTTGTACCATAGGTGATCCAAAGACTTTTTCTTTTTCTTACCTATAGCCGTTTTATTCTCAATGCCTCGAGGGATAATGATATCTTCGTTCGCGTTAGTCTGGGGCTCTACTGCATGACCTAGAGTCGCATACCTGAAATCTGCCTCTGGGGTTCCACGAATCGAGTGTACGAAGGCTTGACGTATTTAAACCACTGTTTCAGTACACTGTCTAGGGTTCGTCCTCGTTCCCGAACATCACGAGCGACTACATGGGGACAATTAGTCACCGTACTAGGGTAAGTATTAAACGCCATGTATACTTCTTCGACCCAAGCAGACGTCCATATCTGCTTCCACAAAGATCTAGCAACGAGCAAAGAACGGTTAGACGTAGGCGACTAATACATGGTGGAGAGGACCGCGTGCCTTGATATCCAACATGCTCGCTATCCTAGGGTCTGTGAAAGCCAAAATCCCTTCCAATATAAGTACCCGCGGTGGGTATAGGGCAACTGTTGCATCTTCTCGCTGGTGTTTTTCAAATGAATAGATGGGTATATCAACTTTACGGCTTTCTCAACTGTCAGCGCAACTCGCTCGTTGGATCATGTATCGGTACCCTTTTTTCAAATTCTGTAGAATGTCCACCAAAATATTAAAGTCGATGGCGTCTGGGGAGTCAAAGTCGTATTCATCTTGGTGGGCAATAGCATTCTGCTCCGGGGTAAGGCTTTTGTAAAAGTGGTCCTTTTCCGTCCATTCTCGTCAGGGGAGTTCCAAAAAAAAAGAGGAAAAGAAAGGAGTATTGCTGCAGGGCGAAGGATCATCTACCATGACCAATACGACCGCTCCAGGAACATTCAGGGACCTGATTATTTCAGCAGCCACGGAGGATTTTCCAGACCCAGAGCCCCCAGCAATTCCGATGATACTCAGATCTTCCCAAGGCGGGGAGAACCGCCGCGCTAGATCGCCCATATTTGGCATGAAATATCCGAAACCACTATGTACCGGGGCTCTGGGCGATAGATCTATAGACTATAAGGAGTAGATATCGGCGGATTCGGTAGGTCCAGAAGGGTCCAAGTCAACAGGCTCCCTTCATAGCTAGCTGCAGGCTAGGGAGCAGATTAGTATATATGGACAGCGCGCTCATCCAAACCCTGTGCAGCCGCAAGAATACACGGCTGTGATGGTGGTTGTCGAGCTCGTGAGGATGCTCCAGCCAGAGATCGTGGTGACCAGCGCTTCGTCACATGATGCTGCCAAGCCCTGGGCTAAAAGTTGAATTTTCTCTCAACGTCTTCGCTTCCTTTTCTCTTCTTCTTCCTCTCTATTTTCTGACTGCTTCAACTCCTCATGGCATCTCACCCATTGCTATTGGGGTCCAGCAGGCTATACTTATAATCACGACACTTTTCTTATCATCCTCCAGGCTCGTATAATGGCGTCTACTAACGTTGTACGTTCCCAGGCCTGTTTGCCAGCCAATCAGTCTTCCAGGGTGCTAATCAGCCATCCCGCAGATGTCTCCTACACCTTCCACCACCACGCCAACCTGGCATAATTTTGAACGGAAGGTGGAGGAGGTAAAGCCATCCAAAACGTGAGTCCGTTTTCTCGTTCCCCTGTTTCCTACTTTCCGCCACATGATGATTCAATTAAAAACAAATGGGAATCTCTCTGAACTATCATTGAGGAGAACCTTTTAATATCTCGTATTTTCTGAGCTCAATCTTCAAACATTGTTTTTGAACCCGCTCTTCGACGTTAGGGTTATCGCTAACCTTGCATCACAGTGATATTAATTTCCTGGTTATGGACTATCTTGTCACAAATGGCTATCCATTAGCTGCAAGGAAATTTGCAGTTGAAGCCAACCTTCGTCCTCAGGCAGCTATAGAATCTATACAGGAGCGAGTAGATATTCGCAATGCCATTCATTCGGGGGATATACAGTCAGCCATCGAGAAAATCAATGAACTCAATCCTCGGGTACGTATTATTTGAGCCTTTGGCCACTCCTACTCTACAACCCGATTGCAATGATTATACCAGTTTCATGCACCACTCATATGCCGTTTACGGTGTTGATGAAAAACACTCATCTTCAGTCCTCAGTATGACCTGCAACATATTCCTACACAGAAGCTTCTGTTTAAAAACTCGAGTTTATTGTGCGTCGCTAACCGCTGAGTTAGATTCTAGATTGTAACGCGTCGCTCCACTTTGCTCTCCTTCAGTTACAGTTGATCGAGTTGATTCGCATTTGTACTGCCACCCCTAATGGTGATATATCTCCTGCACTTGACTTCGCAACTTCACAATTAGCGCCACGAGCTCCGACCAATCCGCAGTTTCTTGAGGACCTCGAGAAAACTATGTCCCTACTAATTTTTTCAGCTGAAAATCTTTCTCCGTCATTGGCAGCCTTACTGGATCCAGAGTTGCGAAAAACAATTGCAAATCGTGTAAATGAAGCCATTCTACAAAGCCAGGGTGCCAAGCGCGAAGCCAGACTTCGAAACTTGGTAAAGCTTCGCGCCTGGGCGGAAAAGAAGGTCCGTCAATCAAAAAAGCAAATTCCTGAAAAGCTTGACATTGGCCTTGACGGAGATACCGGTAATAGCAATACTGGCTCCAACGATTTGCAGAATAATGGCGAAGATGTTGTCATGCAAGAACAAGCGGAAGTTGACCCTATGGTTACGTAAGTGGATCTTGGTGTCTCGTCGACTCGCAGTCTGGGCATTCTGGTAATGGCAGATATGCTGAGGCTACGATTGGGTTTCAATGACGGAAAGCTTGAGTGTTGAATTAGCAAGGCGTTATGGAGCTTCGATTTCAATACAGGACGGACTTTTTTGCTGTTATTTTGATGTCGCTGACGTTGTAATCACTGGAGACTCGAGTTTGACATCGTTGGCTCCACCGCCTGATGATTTCTCTTAGATGTACGGAGTATAGAATAAACAATATCAAAGTATATCAAGGGGTGGATTACAACAACAATTTACTGTAACTATACACTTCTTACAATCAACACAATCGTGGCGCTTGATTGTGGTTATGTGGAAGTGAAGGATTCAAGTGGGAACCAATACTCCATGCTAATGTGGCTAGCTTGAGGAGTCAATGCCTTCTGCGTTTTATGGCATGAACACCGGCAGCCGGTCCGACAAGCTACATACAACGTAAGGTAACACGGACCGCTGAACCCTCCATCAGAACGCATTGTGGCAGCTGAAGTATTTAGTCGTGATCTAAGCTGGGGATCTGGTGCCCAATCATTAGTTAGTTATACAAGCAACCTTAGAAGTGTGGATTCTCACCGGTGGTTGCCGGGTCGCCTACGGTTATGCCTACTGAAAGAAGAGATTCAAAAAGATTTCCAAACAATGTTCGCCCACTCCTCTAACTCGGTGTCGTTAAATGTGATGTCAGCCTGGTTCCTGACCGCGGTTCGAAGAAAAAGGTCGATGAAGGGAATGATCAAAGGACCGCCGGCTACACGAACAGGGCTGTTCTGCCCACGTTTCTCGACGGTGATGGTTTGGAGGACCGCCGCCCTTGTGATTCCTGAGCGGCCATATCTTCGAATGGTGACCATGGTTCGAGACACCTTGATTGTAAGGGCCACCTTCACTTCCCCAGCGGATTTCTGAATCCACTGTCTCGCGACCCTGTCAAGGTCATGATGGCTTTGCGACTTTCCCGTTTCCACAACAAGGGTTGGCCATTTGGGTGTTCTGCCCGCGGGGAGATTAAGCGGTTGGACAGCGTAGTCTGGCTCCTTGTTCTCAATAGTTGCAGAGCCAATGCTCACGAGATATGTATTAAACCTCATGCCCATTGATGAAAGTTTGAAGCCTATTTCATTTTGGAACCACCCTGTTGCTACTTCATGGGGCTTTGTTATCATTTTTGCAATTAAAATTCTGGATTTCGGAAAAAATTCTCTTGTCCTGATTCCCTTTTGTCTGTGGTCGAGGAGGATAGGACTCTCTGGGACATCACGAAACACGCAGTACCCGCCGCTCCCATCATCGACAGAGCCGGCTGCGGCTTCCATCTGAGCGGCACTTTCATATTTAAAGACGGGTGTGTCCTTCGGCAAGCAGTTCAGGGCAGCTTCGGCCTCACTGTCCCCGCAGCCGCAGTTTTCTGATCCGGGTCGCAGCTGCAGGAGAGTGTCCACGCTTTGGGGATGCATTTTCTTCTTCTTCTTCTCTTTTCTTAGAGCAAGAATTGCACTTCAGTTTGCACTCGGGCTACTGTATGTATTTAAATAAGTATGCGGTTTGGGTATCATATGCTCTTGTTCGTGCCTTTTATGACAAGGGATGTAGTTATCATTAAAAACAACTATAAGCTCGGATGATGTCACACATTCAAGTCTTAACTATGTAACTTAACTAGTTATCTCACTACTACAGCTTCAGGGCTAGATATTGCCATCGTGACATCCGCCCGCGATCAATCTGCAGGTGGATATGCTCCAGTTATCCATGCATGTTTGTTGCCTGGGAAAAGCCGGTGGAATGGGAAGTGGAATGGGAAGAAAGGGGGAAATCACGGAGAAAGAAAGGAGCAATTAAAAATTCATCATATCCCTTCCAAACAACGCTCTCTTCGCCCAATCCATCGCCAGCATGACTCTCGTCCGCAGACTCACGCTTTGTGCGAAATAAATACTGCGCCACAAATACACTGCCAGCAATCCCCCGCCCCAACTCAAGCCATTGATATCGAAAACCGCTGCGTTACCGATATACGCCAGACTTCCGAGATGCTTGTACTCAAAAGCGTTGTAAACCGTTTCATCCAAAACTGCGTAATCTATTTCATTGGCTTTGAGGTCCGGCGATGCGGCTGCCATTTTATTGAACTTCCGACCGAGATACTGGCCCTGTTGATTCGCTCGCTGAGCGGTGGCGGGGAGGGATGTTAGTTTGGTGTCGATCTGCGAGAGAAGCTCATGTAGTTCTTCAAAGTCGAGGGTGCCACTGCGGTCCTTGTCGTACTGTTCAAATAGTCGATCAACCCTTTTGAGGTGGGTTGTGGCCTGGGGAAACCTCTTCTTCACGCGCATGGCCACGTTACGCCATTCCTTGAAGGTAAGGTGGACTTTCTCGGGGTCACGGCCCTTTTCCCATGCGATAGTTCGTAGGAAACTTACTAGGTGGTCAGCAACGTTGTTCTGGACCGTTGAGCAATCTCCGATCGCATAGACCTCTCCAGCCGGTGCACCAAGAAGTCGAAGGTGAGTGTCGGTTTCGAGGGCAAGCCGGTTATTCTGAGCTTCAAGTTTCTTTGCAATGTTACGGCAAAATTCGGTTTGGGCTTGGGAGGAATATCAGCCGGAGAATAAGCAATAAACGCAGAGTCCAGAATCACTTACAAACACCAGTTGACCATAAACAAAATCCCATAGGGATCTCTTTCACTACCGAATTGCCATTTTCTATTTGCGTAAAGAGGATTTTGTCTGACCGTACCTCTTTCACCCTCGAATTAGTCAAAACCTCGACTTGGTCATGAGCAAATCGTTGCTAGCGTCGGCGTTAATTATTTCCCGTTGCATGTACATACATACATACAATGCTGGGATTGTTCATACCTCTGCATAGAGCGAAACAGTTTCGTCATATGTGTTCAAGATATGGCTCCTGCTCTGGATCAAATGTACAGAGATCTCATTTCGTAGTATTTTGGGAAACGATCTGAATAGATCCTCGTTCAACATATCAAATAGCTCTGCGGCAAATTCAACGCCGGTTGGGCCACCGCCGCAAACGACAAAAGATAGAAGTCGCTTTCTTTCCACATCGGTAGTAGTTGGTAGGCAGGCAACCTCCAAATTCTGGAGGACCTTGTTCTTTATCTGGCGCGCATCGTCCACTGATTTCAAGAAATTGCAGTGTTCCAGGCCTTTTACGCCGTGCGGGTTTGTAGTCGATCCTAGAGAACAATTAGCGAATGGCAGACCTACAATATATCAAAACGACATACCAACTCCGATAACAAGCTTATCATAAGGAAGGTAAAAGTTTTGCTTTATGCCGTTGCAATCCACCTGGGACACTTCAACAAGCTTCTCCGCAAAATCCAAGTCCACCGCCTCAGCTCGCAGAAAATGACCGCGAACGCGCTGCACAATTAAACGGATAGGTTCCACCAGAGAGCGAAGTCCTAGCGTGCCCACGGTCGCCGACGGAAGCATCGGGGTAAAAAGAAAGTAGTTGACAGGAGAGACCACGGTTACATGGTAGTCCCCAGGGTTCAGTGATTTAAGCAAAGCTACACTGCCCCAGCCGGTCCCTAAAATAACAAGTTTCGGTTTATCCTTCTGAGCCTCCATATGTTGCGAATCTTTATCATCAACCAAAACATCCGCAATCGGAAGGTTCTTTGGCCCCCCCCGTCTCGGATTCAATGCCATTTCTGAAACTGGGACATCCTCGACGAGTGGATTGTTGGCGTATGTGGAAGCATCGTAGATGAAGAAGGCGATTACCAGACCAGTACTGAAGAGCACGAACATTCCACCGTACGCGAAAGCATTAAATATGATTCTCCTAGCCCTGCTGCGTGGCTTTGCTTCTGTTTTTGTTGCTGCCTCGGTTCCGGTCGACGCATACCGTACCGGCGTGGATCGGAGCAATCCGGCTAGAGGGACACATCGTGCTTCACGGGGGAAGGACCCGGGATTGTGACAGCGAGAGACATGTAACGTGCGGCTTGGAGTGCGAGCGAGGGAATTAGATAGCTGCGATGCACCGTTAATTCGAATCGAACACTGTTCTATTGCTCGATGCGCTCGAAACAGACCAGCTCGGCCTCTGAGCGGTGGAGCGAACATGGTACCCAACGTGCAGCACGCATCGATACTAGAGGGAGGGAGAGAAGATAATGATAGTTAACTCCTGAGAAACGAATCCAACCGAAATGATGCAGAGAACAACGAGCGGTCGCCCAGCCTGCAAAATGAGCTGGCGGTTTCAACGTCACATCTTCCTTGCTGGCGGCCAACGATGTCATTGAGTGGAGTGATGACAGGGGCCGCAGGAACAAGCTCCGCCAAGAGGCTTAGTAATCTTGGCGTGGATGGGGGATGTTAATCGAATATCATAAATGATTAAGAATAGCTAGAATGAGACGGATGCCGTCTAGAATGTCTGTTAAGGAATATATCAAAAGATTCCCCCAAAGTAGATGCAACATCACGCCCATTGAGCATAGAACCTCCGCCCCTCGAAAACCTTGAAAGCGGCCTTGCAAAGCCCCAAACTACCATTCATGTCCAACGCCAAACGTCCTCTCCCGTTACTAGTCGAACTCGCCATCATGCTCCGAGTCAGGGCTGCCTCGCTTCTTCGCGTTCTTGCCTCGGGCCTTTTGCCTAGGACGCTTTGGCGCATTGCCGCTAGACACTGAGCTGCGTCGTTTTCCCGACTTGGGGCCGCTGCTAGCAGAAATCACTTGGTTCATGTCTCCCAAGTCTGCGGTGGAATCGTGGCCATCCCGATCATCATTTGCTGCAATTTTCAACTCATCATCAATCGACATCAGAGTTGCAAATTCCTTGCAAATGCTCATCATTCCTTCCACGCTCTCCAGGCAAGCCATGTTTTTCGACATGGCATCCCATAGTCGATCGCCGCTGGTACCTGGTACCTTAGCTAGAGACTTGGTCGCTTCTTTAGCTCCTGCTTTGCTTTCTTTCGGTAGTGAATGGAAAGAAACGCCATACAGACGACGAAGGTATGTTCGAGTTTCCCAGAGCATTGACAGGGTTGTCGCCGCGGTAGCTAGCTGTTTTAAGTTATCTGGGTCGACAGGACGGGATACGTTGTCTGAGGTTTGCCCATCTATCTCCATTCGTTCGCCTGTGCTGTCAATTTTAACAGGAAATATATCCGTTTCAATCGCGTGGGCAACAGTGGTGCCCGTAGAACCGACGATTCGCTCCATGCAGGTAACGGTAGCAAGCAGCTCTCCAACCTGCGCATATTCAAAGTAAGCCAGATTCTGGCATACAAATCTGGAGAGCAACAAATGTTCGGGCGGGGTCCCAGAGATGTCAAGTTTCCGCGGTTCAAAGTCGATCTTCTGACAGAGATTCGTCAGAAATTTCTTCTCATACCTGCTATTGCTAATCTTGATAATTCAAACAGTGGCGCTAATTTAGCAGTGAACGGGCGGGTCAAGGCTCCTGTCGGGTCTCCAACAACATCTCGTTGGTAATAAAATGCATCTTGAACCGCTCTCATATACTCTCTGTCGAACATTGACTCGTGCTGTTGATGGAGCATTTTATGGGTTTCAAATGCAGTTTTGGCAATGCCGGCATTGGCTGACGTCTCCAAGGAGACCAGGACCCCCAGCGCACTCTTTCGGGTGGATAAGGCCTTGTCGATTTATGCTTGCAATTAATTCAATGGCGGTCAATGCATGAGAGTCTTCCTTTGAAAGAGCAGCACGAAGCATTTGTTGAAGGAAATGCTGGGCAATCAATGCCGCCGCGCCGTCGTTCTCGCTAGCCTTCAAGGATCCTCCAAGACGGGTAGACCCTTCGTTATCACCACTCGTATCTTTACTTTGAATGAGCTTTTCGGATTTCCCCTCGTGAATAGAGAAAAATGCCAAAAACCCTCTTAAAACAATATTTTGCAAATCTGCACTGTCTTCCTCGAATACAGAAGTGAGTGCCTCTCTAGCTCGTTCTGCGCTATACTGAGCGGGCCATGTTTCACAGACCGCCCCCAAGCTTTCAAGCGCCATCACCCTCAGTTCAGGAGGATACTTAGATGAGGCGAACGGAGAGATAAAATCAACCATCAAGCCAGCTACCGAAGTTGCTTTCATATGTGGGAATGATTGCGCAAAAAAGGACCGAAATGACTCCAAATCGCAGTGTTTCCCGACGCACCCGGCGATCCGTATATAGCTCCGTACTCGTCCAAGTGCATCCGCATCGGTGGAAGCATCTAACTTGGCACTTGCGGCTTGATTGATACCTTTTAACACAGAAACCGTCAGCTTCACTAGGCGCTCTGTGTTCTGCAACACGCCGTTAATTGTCCAAAGGCACGCCATAACCTCATTGAGTTCTGTTCTCGCCAATTTCGACACACTCTTGAAAAGATCGTTTTGTATATCCTTGAGTAGAGTGTTGTGGGATGTTGAAAGGTACGGTAGAACACAACGATAGATGACAACGACGGATCGAAACAAAATCAGATCATCGGCATTGGAAAGATGGCCTATATATGGATGAAGGGTTTCAAGTTGATCTGGCGTAAATAGTTTAGCATTGGCCTTTGAAAAGAGCGTGATCGACTGCAGTAGCGATTGTAGCGTGCTTTTATCAGTATTGTCGGCATCGTGAACAATCCGGTCAAACATGGCTGCAACCACGGCTTTGCAGACATTGAAATTCAGCGACGTTGCCTTAGCCTCAGGCGAAAGTTCATGTTTAATGAATGCCTCGAATGTTGGAATAACACCTTCATTCCTCTTCACGGACCCAACCATTAGATTCATTAGATTTTCAAGAGAAACTTGAGATTGCGGTGTTCTCTGGGCTGGATTCGTAAACGAGGAATGCAATGGTGAAAACCACATTTCCTCCAGGGCCTGGCGGGCTTGTGCAGCTACAGTGCTTTCGTGATCAGTGACCCTTTGGAGCAATTGCTCGATAACGGCAAGCTTTAATTCTTGGTTGGACGTTTGGGCATAAACCTCTTTCATCAGTCCAATACACCGTTTCCTAACGCCCACCGTTTGGTCAGAGGAGCAAGCTAAAATTGCGCGGCAACAGCTCTCCTCAAGGCCGGGTTTTAGGAACATGCATTTCGCAATCAGACTTAAAGCGGAGTCACGGACCATAGGCGATGAATCAGTTGCACATCTTAGAATCAAAGCCATGACTGATTCATCCCGATCGAGCAAGCTCGGGTCGCGTTCAAGCATGTGGATAACACTCTTTAAACTCCTGCTCCTGACTTTGGCCTGGTCACTGGTAATAGAATTAAGCAGCACCTTGACGATAGTATCAAATCCCTTGCAGAATCCACTGCTTAGGGAT